CCGATAGGGGGCCGATTATATCGTGCATCCCTAAAAAAAATATATAATTTTTCTTCCACCGCTACTGAGCTTCCTTCTATTTATAAAGCTCTGATTTTTTTTTTTAGGATAAAACATAAAAAAAAAAGTCTGATTTGAATAAAAACTTATTTTGAGACAGAAATCAGGAAACTGGAAATTCCAAATAAAAAGAACAATATTTAAATAAAACTTATAAACATGGAGGAAACTTTGCATTTCGACTGATTTTGCAGATCGAAGAAAATTTACCATTTTGTTTCATTCGTTGGCAAAACACTCCAGCGCTTGCATGTCTGCTTTTATTTATTTCATTATTCGTGGTTTCCAAACATCCTGATACTGCGATATGGCGCCCAAACAGGCCGTTTATTCTTCAGTCAGGAGGATATTAGCTTTTAAATTTGCTGTTAATGTATTTGGACTTCTTCGTTCAAATACACAACCATGGTATTTAAAAAAAAAACTTCATCGAATTTAAAACAAAGCGATGATTTAATCTCGTTGCTTCAACTTGTACTATTGTGTGAAGATGGGGAAGAAAAAGACAGATAAGTGAACAGAATGCAGGTATAACTTTCTGACCACACACCATGTTTGCAGAGTAATTAAAAAGCTCAAAGTGGAGGAGATATCAGCGGCGCTTCACACTGCGCCACAGGAAATATGACCCCACTCCCAGTTTCTGGTCACAACACCTGTGCCTTGGCTTAAGCTCAATGGTGCATGTGGAGGAAGCGTCAAAGTGAGGGGCAGCGTCTGTAATCTGAACTTAATGATAAAACACTGGTGGGGTTGGTAATGGGCTTGTAACAGGAGCTGGGAAGCTGTGTGAGGAGGAAGGCAGTGAAAGCGTAGCCATCACCCATTTAGAACTCCTTCAACCTTTGCCTGATAAGTGGGTTAAAACCTCATGAACCTGGAAACCTGCTCATATCGGTACGCAGATGGGGCCTGCTCAGCTAAAGCCACTTAGCTGCCTGGTGTTGGGTCGTTTCATCAGCTTTCAGGCAGAACAGGAGTTACTGCCTGCTTTAATCAGACGGCCTCCGTAATCCCTGAAGGATAAACTCTAATGTTTTGCTGTAAATGTGGTATAAATAAGGGAAGGTTTTGTTTTGGCATCCTTACCCACATACTGCTCCACGTCTTTTACAGAGAAAGTGGGCGGGGGCAGCTTTAGACCCAGGCCTTCCATCTCTGTGATGGCGATGGGGTAGTTGAAGCCGTGTCTCTCCAAGTACCTGGTGGTCACCTGCTCGCCCTTCATCCGTATGAGGATCTCCTCGGCACTGCGAACCAAATCACAACAAATCTAAGCAGGGATCCAACTTTGGCCACAACAAACTTCTCAACTGATTCATTTTACTCCTCACAGAGGCAAAAACACAAACAAAAAAGTATTTTTCTGGAATAGATTAAACTGGGACATAATATTATTACAGATTTTTACATCTAACTTCCCTCTCCCATATTGAGATCCCTGAAAACGGCGCGTAAAAAGCCCCAGAAATGTCTCTTTAGAGAGGATAAGCTGAAACAAAATAACCAGTCGGACAAATTTTAGTAGGCCTCATACAGCTTTAAATTAAACTGAACTAAAGCAAATGGTAGATCAGGGATACTATCACCTAATTATAAATGAATCTTACTCAATGAGGGTCCAATTTTACAGATGACGGCTAATTAGTAAAACAGAGGAGAAAATGTTAGAGAAATCCTGCCAAAAGGGTTACATTGGATCAGAGTCCTGGACCGGGTCGGATACCCATATATCTACGGGTAGAAAAACCCCCACAGTTTCATGGATGCGGACACGGATATAAATGAACAAAATAAGGGTATCATAGAGTTACAGCAGGATTATTAACTCTACATCTTAAAAAAAATAAATTGATTAAAGAATATCTAGATAACAGTATTGCAACGATGCTGACACCACCACATGTGAGCAGAAGTCAGCAGAGGCATACAGAAACAGGCTATCCTAACTAATATTTACGGGTTGGGTTTTAAATGGAGATAATTATGGGTAAGGGGGCGGGTCTCGGTTCCGAACTCTACGATTGCGGGAGGATACAGTCACACCAGTCCAGGACTCTGCATTGGACTCACCATCAGGAAGTAAATATCGATTAAAATCCTATTACAGCAATACTGACAAAATAAATCTTTTACTTTTAAGAAACACTAATCTAGAAACAATACTTCCTTATTATCAAAGAGGCTACTTCTCTACAACTGCAGCATTTAAAGGATTAAAATTTATAGCTTTATTCAGTCATATTTCGAAACTAAAGTTAACACTTCAGAACACTGCATAAAAAAAACATTGTAAAAATATTAACCCAAGTCAGACTAGCGGTTGTTGACATTTGCAAATCCTAAAAAAACAAGAAGAAAAAACGAAAAACCACCATTTTTAATTGATGTTTGTGTTTTTCATGCCTATTTTTTTTTCTTTTATTATATTTTCTTATCAGCTGCTTGGATTTATTTGCATGACACTTTGTTTACTTATGCCTATCTTTTAAATTTTGATATTATTCAATAAAGAAAAAAGTAAAAGACATTTGCAAATCTTTATTCTTAAGAAGTTAAACCACCATCACTGTAATCCTTGTTTTGACAAAAAAAAAATAAAAAAGCAAAAAAAAAAAAA